AGTTCCTTTACATTGGTTAGCTCAAGTGGTCCCTGCTTCATTTCCTTGACCATTCCTGGAGGATCCCACATATATTCCTGCTTTGAGTTAGCAGGCCAACCTACAGCCTAGGCTCCTCCGCCCAAAGCAAATGCCAAAATATCCCCCCCCACACCCCTTCCCCTGAGCACTGGATACAGTCAGCCGGCAGCTGAGCACGCAGCACCAGACCTGCTCGTCTTCTTTACAGGAAAGAAGGCTCAGCAGCAGTGACCCCCAGCCCACACCTCGACCTTTTTCCAAATAAAAAAATGCAGTCTGATTTCTGATACAGCAGGAGCAACCTCGCCTCTTCCCAACATGGACAATCCGATGGCCAGCAGAATTCCTGTCCTCCCACGTCATCTGCACCAGCAGCCTTTTAAAAAAAGGACAACTTTATCTGAAAGAGATTAACTGCAGAAGCGTGGTAGATAAATGCTTTCAACAGCAGGTGCCAGATGATTGTTCAGTTCTTCACAAGAGAGAGGCCTCTTAACTTTTTGTTGTCTGCTGTGTAGCGTGGATGGGAATCTGTCCCTCGCCATGCAGCAGTGCCTTGCACGACTATCCCCACCATTCTGCTTCCCCAGGGACCTTTCCCAGGAGAATTAAGACCACTCAGCTTTATGTCAGTCAGTGATCAGGATTATAGTCAAATACTACTGAAAAAACCCCAAGGTGGTAGCGACAATGCTCACAGCTTTTTCTACCAGTTCCTCTCAAGTGACATTTAAAAACCCCTTGAATGCAAATCTCGTAGTTTTAACTTTTACAGAGATCCAGGTTTTTTTTTTTTTTGTCAGATAATAAGGGTTAACAGACTCATCGGGCACCCGCGCTCACCCTAGAGGAGTCATGCTCTGAATTTGGACGGGACAAAAATCACGAGAAGGACGGACTTGCCAAAAATTGTTCATCTAACAGTACTGGTGGAGGAGGATTCAGTTATTAATATATTATTAATATATGCTACTATAATTAGCAGCTGGATCCTTAGCATGAAGGAACGAAGAATGAAAAATAAATTCCTCTTGGGAATGAAACAGAAAAGAGAAATGTTTGCTAGACAAATTACCTTGCACGTCAGTGAACTTTCTTCATCTAAAAAAAAAATTTCTAGGGGAAACTTTAGAGGGCAAGAAGCTAAGTTCAGCTGTCAGCCCCAAAGCTGTTAAGAAAACAAGCCCACCTCACTCTTAGTCTTGATTTATCTGAGAAATCGGTCAGAATACATTAAAAAAAATAAGGAAAAGATAAACATGTTTCCTGTCTCTAACAGCTTGCCTGATGGCAAGTGCTACCACCTTGCTGGAACCTTCCCGAGGAACAGGAAGAACAAACACAATTGCAGAACGCAGTTGTATAAACAAAGTGGCTGGGGGGAGTGGGGGGAAGAGGAAGGTCAAATTAAAATCCCAATTCTTACAAAAACAGGCCCGACTTCAAATTCAAGAGTGTCCTTTTAAGCTGGCCACACAACTGAGAACACAGACTTGCCTTTCAGAAGTTCTCAGGCAAAGCTCGTCTTAGCCCACGTGACAGCTAACCACGAGCTGTGGGCTGCACGGTAGCCTTTCAATCTCTTCTGGGAACTAAAGCTTTCATAAAACATGAAAGGCTTCAGTGAGATCCAGAGGCCCCCCCCAACCTTTCTTTCAGCACCAGATGTCTCATGGCACAAGTCGCGTTCCAGCTTGGCAAGATCTCCTGCAGACCCCTCTCCATGCACAGGGGATGCAGCTCCAAGCAGCCTCCGGCAACACCTGGAACCCTCTGGAGAGGGGCTGCAGCACAGGATTCCTAGGAGAAGATACAACCACAGAGCCCTGCACTGAAACTCCACGGACAAGGTCGCAGATGAACTTTGCAAAGGAGTTTTTGGTGGCACTAGAGGCCGCTGTCATCCTGGATGAAGGCAGATAATCCAAGAGTGGGCTGCAAGAAACAGGACCCACCACCTGCTTGCACCAAGCGGAAACCAAAAGGATGTTAGTTTCGCACCAGGAAGA